GGACTCCAATGCCCAGTAATGAGCAAGGGTCAGTGAACTTTATAAAGGGTCCGATGCAAATATTTTAGGTTTTTGGGTCATGTGTTCTATCTGTGTTGCAGCTACTTAGTTCTGCCGTGGTACTGCTACTGCCAGAGTATCCATATGCATATATATAGTAAGCAGATGCATGTGACCAGATTTGGTCTAGAGTAGCTGCATTTGGCAGGGGTTTCCTGGTGGCTCAGTGGTAAAGAATCCGCCTGCCAGTGCAGGAGACTCGGGAGACACAGGTTCAATCACCTGAAGAAGGAAATGGCAACCCACTCCAGTGTTCTTTCCTGGGAAATCCCGTGGATAGGAGCTGGGCAGGCTACAGTCCTTGGGGTCACAAGAGAGTTGGACACGATTTAGCAACTAAACAATGACAACAGCAAAGCTGTATTTGGCACACAGGCTAGTTTGCTGACCCTGATATAGAACAGTGCATCCACTGTGAGGGATCCAAACACCAAAATATCTGAACCCTTCTGTCTGACAGAGAGTATATAAATACCAAATAGTTGCTGACTGGCTGACTTCTGATATCCTGTCTAGCAGAATGTCATTGATTCTGGGCCAGGTTGGGAGTCTCATTGAGAAATAGCTGGGATAGGGCAGGAGCTGGAGTAAAGACTCCAGCTTGGAGTCTTTTTGGACCCCAAAAAAGACTGTCCCATTTCTAATGGGCCACCAGTGCTTCATGCTATCGTTGCTACCTATCACCACAAGCCACCCTGATATTTGCTGGTCCCTGCTACATGGCTAATCGTACTATGTCTACAGGCTACTGCTCTTCTTCTGGCATCTGTTGTATCTACTCCCAGTAAAGAGATTGTGCCCTTTGATATCTGTTAGCTGGATAATGTCAAAGGACATTAGAGGGATTGACTTCAAAGCATTTTTTTAGGTTTTTTGGAGGCTGGAGGATGACCTGGTCCTTTTAACTTCCTCCATGAATCTTCCTGGGTCAAAGGGTGATTTAAATGGCAGTGTCCAAGGGGCCTGACCATCCATTGTGAAATAACCTTGACATCTTTCTCCAGGGTACCCAGGAATCTTCTTGAAAATAGGACATCTTTTGTCCTGGCCATGCCTTTTCAGCATTTTTGGATGTAGTCATGGAGTTAGCCCACCAGAGCAGACTCTTCAGTAACGCACTTTAAAAAATCCCTCTATCCTTTCTAGGGAGAATCAATAATTCATATAAGCAAATCTCTTGACTGTGGCTTGTGTATCTTAAGTTCTTTATAAATCAGTAATCAGGAATATACATATATGACAGCTCAGAGAGCTTTCTAGAATTAATTGAACTCTACTATTGCTTTCATTCATTTGAGGGTCAGGAAAATAGTAAAATTTCAGGCTATGATAACAGATATATTCCACGAAGAAACAAACTTTGTAGTCAAGAGAGTCTTCTGGTGCTTTTTGTTAAATGGCCTATTCAGGATTTCTTTTAACAAATGATATCTAGTCACCACAGAAAAATAAGGATAAAAATTTGTTATCACAGTACTAATTTTAATTTATAATGGTATTTAAGAAGTTATGGGAATTAGGACTAAATTTTTTCCCTCCTTACATCATCCTTCTATAGTATTATCCAAAAATAGAAAAAAGATAAATATATAAATATATTAGAAACAATAACAGGAAGTATAAATTTTGATTCTTGAATTTGATCTGATATTACAGAATGCTTTTGAAATTCATCATTAAAAATTGGAAGAAGAGCAATAATTTTGAAAGAGATGGAGAACGAAAAAAGACTTTTTGTTCGATATGTAAATCAATTATAAAGTTAAATTATTCAGATATTATAAAAGTGATATAGAACTAGGATAAAAAACTATATAGAATATACTAGCCTGAAAAATATACCCTAGTATGTACATGTATATGTGTGTGTGTATTTATGAATTTAATATATAGTATACATAGTATCACAAGTGGGAAATGGAAAATTTGTCCAATAAATGGGACTGAGTCTTTGTTGAGTATATGAGTTAGGCTAAAGACAAACTTGTTTTATATACATACATGTATATCCACATATAGGACCTTGAAATATAGTATCTTACCGGGAATCTTATTTCATCTCCACATAAATTTTATTTGGTCTAGTTTTATAAGAATGCTGTACTCCTCAAGGTCATTCAGAGGTCTAGGGTTTGTTTCAAGTTACTCTGTCTTCTGGGACATTGTCCATCTTCTCCATGGTCAAAGCTAGGTTTCTGGTGATCCTCATTCCAGCTTGTGATGAAGGGGAGGGGATTTGTGATGAAAGGGAGGGAGAGTAAATGTGAAGCAAGGGATTTCCTATTAAGCACAGGACACAGAAGGTGCACATATTCTGTTCGTACACATTCTGTTAATGCAGATCTGATCACTTGGCCCTGTCTACCTGTGTGAATGGTTAGGAAATGTGCTCTCCAGCTGGGTAACTGCGGGCTCAGCCACAATTCAGGGGGAGAAAGAGCTCCAATATTATCAGAAAGAGAGATTATATACTGGAGAGAGTTAACAGTCTGGGCCATAGTAGTTATATGAAAATAAAACATCAATTTAGATCCTCATCTTTTACCATACTGTGAAATAATTCCAAGTAGATATATATAGTCAAACCATACGATAAGCATCCAAAGTTGTTAGCATAGCATAGCACCAGGCAAATGGCAATAAAAATAAGTGCTTTTTATGGATTATATCATTGATCTTTACAATGACCCTATAAAAGATATTGCAATGGAAAAGGCTCCATTTGGTAAACAAAATAGATCAAAGACAGTTCATAGAATAAGAAGTACAAATGACAAATAAGGATTTTTCATATCTTTAATGTTATGATAAAAAAGAAATGTAAGTTTGAAAATGAGAAATCATTTTCACTAAATTAGAAAATACTTTACAAAATATTCGGACCTTGGATAAGGGTAAGTTGAAGAATATAAACTGCCAGAGCCAGTGTGTGTCAGGAGCCTTGATACATGTTCATATTCTCTGTGATTCAGAAATTTCATTTTCAGGAGTCTTTACTAGAAAGAAAAAATCAGATTGAGAACAAAGCATTATTTAAAATCATACACACATAAAATTGGAAACCATATAAATGTCTAAAAACATTTTAGGGAAAGTGACTAAATGGTTATATATACAGAATGTAGTATTATGCATGATTAAAATAGTTTATAGTGCTAACAATATGGGATCTGACGAGATGTTAAGTAAAAATATTAGGATTTAAAATGATCAGAAATTGGATTTAAATTACATTTTTAAAAAAGCATAGAAAAGATCCTGGAAGTATTTTAAATGTTTCTGGGTGTTCTCTGTTATTCTTTTGCTACATCGTGGCTTCTTTATTAGCATCTCTACATTTATTAATCAAGAGGTTTCTTTATTTACTCCTCCCTCCCCCTATTGGATGATCTAGGAGAAAAGGTACATACATTGTTGGTAAGGTATATAGCACCTGGCCCAGTGTAGGTAATGCATATTGATTGGGTAACATTGGATGATGGGTCTTGAGATGACCTAATCTTTTTATTTTTCACCATGGACCAGCAATATTTATATAATCAGAAAAAGAAGACAAATTTTTTGTTAGAAAAAGTTTGTTACAATTTTCTTTAGTAATCAGCCTCGTTTTCTAATGGTTGAATGGGAAGCAGAGTGATTAAAATCTAGATTAATGTAGAAATGAAAAAAAAAGTATTCTTTGTAATAGAGAGGATTCTGTCCATTGTCCCACCATCATTCCCTTGTATGGCCTTGGGATTGTGTTGCTCTGCCTTGTGAAAGTAGAATCTGCAGTGTTTCATGTGCACCTATGGAAATAAAACACATTCGGTCAAGCCTTGTGGATTGCTTAGTACGATTTGCTATCTTGGCTTCTCTGCAGGTACTCTTGGTTGGCTGCAGTTAAACAAAGAATACTATATTTGGAGAAAAGTACTATAATGGGACCTGATTTCATTTTTCCCTTTTCCTCCCACCTCTTCCCCTTAAGATTAAATATTAATATGTTCTGTAGTTGGGGACAATATAAGTCTTTTAAAGTTGGGTCATGTGAAACTTCCCATGTAATATTTGTTACCATTCTCTTAAATGTGCCAGTTAAAAAGATTTGACAGAAAAGCAGTAATTAAAAAAGTACTGTTTCCTTCTGGCTTGTATGAAATGGATATTTTACCTATCCGCTCAAATATTTGGAAATTGTCAAATGAGATTTTCTAATGACACGGCATGTGGGGTAGAAAATTCTGGAAAAGTCAGCTAGAGGCTTATTTTCCAGACCATAAATCATATATGTTGAATTGTGGTTGTCTAGAAACATGTTGTCTATGTTTATCACCAATGTATGTAAGATAATCTGAAACTAATTAGAAGCAGTGTGTAACAGTTAAATAAAGTAGGGTGTTATCATTTGGAACAATGCTGACAGAATAAAGGTGGAAGGAAGAAAATTAACTGATTCTGCCTTAGAAAAGTGAGGAATATGCCCTCAGATTTAAACCTGAGTGTAAGTAGGTGAATTTTTCTTAGAGATGAGTATCGATGGAAGCAAATGTGCCTTTGCTCTCTGCATTTAATTAAGTCCGTTAATGAATGAACACCACCTGTTAAGGTAATTGGTGTTTTCTGAACTGAAGAAGCCTGTGTTTAGCATCTAACAAGTCAGGTTTAAGCAAAAGATGTCAGCGACTTAAGACCCGGGTCACGTGACCCGGTCCGTGCACCAGTCCTGGAAGCTGTGGATCAGATTTCAACTCCAGGCAGTCCTCCCAGCCATGTGGGTTTAGCCAAATCAGAAGCAAACCTACACTTCCGAAAATGTTAGGAGCTGCCCTGGGCTCTCCGTGGGGCCTCTGGATCCGGAGCTGCGTTTTACATCAGTGCATTACCGACCGAATGGAACTTTAGTGTTGTGGTAGTGTTTCGATCGTTTCATCCAGGCTTCGTCAGATCTGCCAGGCGCGATGGGGGCTGGAGCTCTTGCGATCTGTGTGAGTACAGGCCGCCTCTGTCTCGCGGACGCTGCCAGGGCCCGGGAGAGGCCTCTGCCCTCCTGGTTTGGAGGAGATGTCTGTGTGACTTTGCTTTTCCTTCTTAGGAGGTGCGGGGAGATTTGTGAAGTTAAATTCCTAACTATTCACATGGACATTCAGCAGTATTGGGGGGTGGTATTCCGTATTTTTGTCCACTTTCCTTTTACACATGAAGGAAGATGTGTGCTGAGTTTACTCAGTTAAGTAAACTTACATACTGTATGTAGATCACTCTCCAGCCTTTTAGACTTTCTTGTTCTGAGTTAAGTATGGGTTAAATTGTCGTTATTGGAAGTATCTTGTGCCTAGATTGAGAGCAAATTAAAAGAATTAAAATAACCGTCAATTTCTTTGCTTCCAAGAATGTATGTAACATTTTTCTATTTCACATTTTTGTTTTCATTTAGTAATTCTAGAATTTTTGTTTTCGCATGGTTGCTAAAAGTGATGATGAAAGAACTAAGTTGATAAACGTGTGAAAATCCTTAACCAACCATACAAATTTCTGGTTATAATACAGTAACAGTAATAAATAACACTGATATAAAATCCATGAAGAAAGGTGTGTGTTTCTAGGGCTAAAATTCATGAATTTTCAAAAAGAGCAGTTCTCTTGGTGCTTACATGTAATCTTTTGCAATAACCCAATATGTCTACAATTACATAAATTACAGAATGCTGTAATTAAATCTTTTTAATTAATACACAAAATCAATCTCAAATTGGTACTGTATTCCAAGGGGCATTTTATTTGTCCTGGAGGTTTACTAAATGAGAAATATCTTACTCTCTATTATCATCTTTAACTGCTCTCTAGTGTTTCATCACATTTTGATCAGATCCTATGAAGTGACAGAATGAACTGTATTTTTGTTGTAGTTCTGGTGGCATCCTAAAATATCTAGAAACATCTGGGAAATTTTTGACACGTAGGCCCAGAGTGGCCACCAGATGGTGCACTAGCCCCACGGATTGAATTTTCTTAGTAAAACTATGATAAGTCCCTGGTTTTCAGCTCAGAACTTCTCAGCATCCTGTGTTCCTGTCTTCCTAACTCTTTCCCTTTCAGCCCCGATGCTTGGATGCCTGTAGCATCTAGGTGTGCAGCTGGTAATCTTTTTATCACTCCAAAAAACAGTTTCCTTCAAGATCTTATTTTTCTTTGTGGAAAATACTGAACTTATATTTGACTAAAGACACAGGTCTGCATTTTTCCAGCTTTATGAAAGAAAGACTTTAGAGCTGGAAATGCTTAGAGTAAAGCAGCAGGTTGACCTATTAGTCCTGACATTTGCAGACATCTGATTGTTTGATTGGATCCTTGCTACTTGCTCTTAGTTGCATATATTGGACTCTACCTTGACTAAAATGCAGACTAACCCATGTATGAAATTCCATATTTTTCCTTAATTTATATCCAAAATATATACAAAATTTCATTTAAGGTAGATATAGAAATCATACAATTTAAGAGATTATTCACTCCCAGCAGAAATAATTCTTAATCATTCCTACTCTTTAACTTTAGCTTAGTCTTTGATTGTGCTGTGTCCCAATTTTATTATAGGAGGAAGCACATTTTTAGGAATCGAATAATAGTATTTCTGGAAAAAAGGCTATTGAAGATCAAAACACTTTGTGTTTCTGACAGAGAAGTGAGAACTTTAAGTAAACGTAAATGTGTGCATGTGGGCTCATAAACTTAACAGTTTGGAACTTTGCTACTTAGACATATGTGTAGTGACTGCTCAGTGTCCTGTTACTGAAGAGAGTTGTTCTTCAGACAAAATAATTGAGTACCGAATGTTTGTAAAGTGTGTGTATGGGTGTGTGTGCTTGAATTCTTGAAGTGGGAAGACAGGTTTAAAGATGTTAAATTCCTAGTTCTATTGACTTTCTCGTTCTCATTTCCTTTTGATTTTTTTCTGTTTCCCAAATTGCTAGTGCTGTTAGTAAAACTGTAACGGACTCACACCCTTACTTAAATTACATAGAAGAGGTTGATTCTTTACTGTGACGTACTTACTTTTCGTCAGTAATCACCCCCAGGCAGAACAGGAAACTTATACTTGCCAACTGGCGTTAACTTAGTTTCTAATACACTTTTGGATGACAAGCCTTCTTTGGATGACAAGTCAATAGAACTAGGTAAATCCTGAGTCTTTCAGATTCCCTGCCCTTCCAGTTCTGTCCAAGGTGCCATGTGGTCATTTTGAGGATACGTGGCTGAGACTGGGGGCTGGATGTTCTAATGGATGGATAAAGGAGGGGCCTTGAGTGCCTATGTGTAGGTTCTTATACTCTTGACTGTTCTGCTGTGAGAGTGAGTATAGGGACCAAGTCAGTGGCTGGTGAATTTGGGGTTCAGTTCTCTTGGTATTATCAGGCCCCAGCTATCATTCTGTCCTGACTTAGCCCCAACTCTTGGTGGTACTGGCTACAGTTTGAGGGGTATCCCAGGCTTTATCACCTTTGTCCCTAATCTGGGCACATCTACTCCTGTAGCTTCCCCATCTGGTGCTATCAGCTAGCTTATTATACACATAGCGCAGACAGGCCACAGTACAAAAAGGCTCGCAGACCAAATCAGGATACTCTTGCAGATTTATTGCACCAACCTAAGACACAGCACAAAGCAAGGGGAAAAGATGAGGTAGGTTTACCTACTTGGGAAGCGTTTAAATGGGACCAAAAGACCACACTCCCCAAATCCTGTGGTATATAATGTTCATCTTCCCTGTCTGTCTTGCCTTCTTGACCATATCAACCTTCTTTGATTGTGTTACATTTTTCAAGACCAGGATTGAGTGTGAGCTGGCTCAGTGGATGGAGTGTATCTGGAGACAGCACAACTTGCTCTGTCGTCAGGGGCAAGTGTGCCTAGCTGTAATTGTAACTTGCTAAGACACCACTGCACAGCTATGAATTTTTATGTGCATATCGCAGGCGGAAAGCACATGGGGCCAGAATGGGTAAAATCAATGGGCGACTTCGTAAAGACATAGGTATTTGGTGTCTCATAAATGTCAGGTGCTCAACCTGGTTCTTTCATCTCTTCTTAATCATCTTCATCTTTTTTCTATGTAGAATATGCCTACCAAGTTATCCTATGTCCTTATGTACTGTCAACACTTAGTTCTATCTGTTCTTACAGTTTCTCTTGTTCTCAATTTAGCTGAACCAAATCTTCCTAAATAATACAGCAAACAAATATGTAACAGCAGAGTTTCAAGACCATCAGAGGTAGCCTCTTGGTAGTTTCTGGTTTGATTATTTGGTACCAGTTTCTTCCCATGCAGACTACATTTAGGTTTCTTAAATGCTGTAATGAATTTCTTAATTTTTTTAAGCTTTATTTGAGATTTTTGAAAAGCATGGGCTTTGTTGGGAGCCTGGCATACCTGAGTTTAAATATTGGTTATGTTACTATACTCTGATCTCAGACATTGAGCAGTATGCTACCTTGATAGTAGATTTTGGGGACTATTTGACTGTTTAACTTCTTAGCATAATTTCTGTCATCTAGTAGGCAACGCTGGTGGCTCAGATGGTAAAGAATTGGCCTGCAATGCAGGAGACCTGGGTTTGATCCCTGGGTTGGGAAAATCCCCTGGAGGAGGGCATAGCAACCCATTCCAGTATTCTGGCCTGGAGAATCCTCACAAACAGAGGAACCTGGTGGGCTACAATCCATGGGGGTCTCAAAGAGCTGGACACAGCTGAGCAGCTAAGCGCAGCACCACAGCACAGTAGGCAACAGTTCGGACAGAAGGGGTCATGTCTTATTTGCATTACTTGCTTTTTGCTCAGGACTGGGCAGTAGTAGTTGTTCAAGAAACATTTGCACAGGACAGATCAGTCATGGCCTAGGTTTTGCAGTTCCCTGGGTATATTTTATTTTTGAAGACCTTCAAGCATCTGAGAGTTTATCTGCAAAGGCATCTGTCTTCTTGGTGGTGTTTTTTGTGTGTGTGTGTAAATGCAGAGTTTTCTGTTAACAAGAATTAGCAGGACAATTATAAATGTTTTGTACTTTTTTTTAAAAATATTTTGTACTTTTAACTGTTCGAGTCTCCAATTGACTATCTCAGGAATTCTTACTGTGAAGTTACATGTAGTCAAAAGATCCCACACATCCAATTCCATTTCAGATGATGTTCAGTCTGGTCAGTGCATAGCTTTCCCTCAGGTGGGCATATAATCTGCTTCGATCAAGGTAATTAGCACTGCTTGTTCCAGTAGATAAACCTTGAAATCTCAGTAGCTTGAGGCATGAAAATTAATTTGTGGATTACTTAGAGTCTCACGCACATTGTCAGAATCTCTGTCCCATCTGTTGGCTCTGGTATGGAGGCTTCCTCCATTCTGTGATCTATTTATTATCTTAGCATATTAGCGTGTATCCCCTAAGTTATATCAGGGAAAGAAATGGAGGAGGCACACATATTTTTATCTGCCTCACTCTGGAAGTGACTCATTACTCTTCTCATGATTCATTGCTTTGAACTAGTCACATGTTCCCACCTAAATGCAAAGATAGTTGGGACATGTGTAAACAAACAGTCTCCCTGGCTGTAACCTAAATTGCTCAAACCAAACAAAGAGAAGGACATATGTTCCATGATTAGAGTAGCAGTCTGTCTCCCACTCCCTACTCAGTGTAAACAATGAGTTAAGTACACCAAGTGCTGCTGGCAGATATGAAGAGAGAGGGCAGCCTAAAGACCTGCCTTTAGTTAATTGATCAATAAATGGTCAATAAATGACATGAGCCATTGCATCTACCAAGTTAGGCTTCCATTCCTCTCAACTCCTTAGTACTGTTTCAATGTGTTGGTAAATGTCATTATTATTTTAGCTAGTTCAAGCTGGAATTTCAGTTGCTTGCATCAGAAACAACTAATACCCCTCATCATTTGATGACTTACTGTTCTGTGGTTTGGGAAAGCTCATCATGT